AGAAGGTTCAAACAATAGCCTATCCAAGATCTCTGAGTTGACGAACTCCAAGTGAGGACACGTTTAGCTTCCTGTTCCAGAATGGATGATTACAATGAATTCAATCAACTCTGAGGAGCTGAACCTTGAGTTACATGTGTCCAGAACATAATTAAAGACCATCTGCAATGGAGACCTGATATCTTGATTCATGAAACCAACAACAAGAACAAAACTAAAAAAAAATAACAACTCAATTGAAAATAGTTACTGCCACTGAGGCAGAAGGACCTCCTTCATGCTTATGGTTGTATATTTTGTACTGAAAAAAAAACTACATGGGAGAAGCAGCCAAGGAGAGTGAGGTTGAATAGGACAAATTTACTGTCTGAGTCAGTAAGTAGGTTTGAATACTCTTCTCTACTAGTTTAACATTTATCTGCACTTTTTATTGTTGCATAGGTGGAAAAATGGTGGACTGAGTAAAAAAGATCCATCAGCCGCAAAGTGGATGTTAATCCAGCTATGAATGAAATATAAAACTATAATTCAGCAAAGCAATACTTTTTTCGTCATTTACACAGGCTATCACAGTAAATAATTTAGTGGCCAGTTCAACATGTAATTGAAACCCCCAACAGAAAAGTGTTTGAACACATGTTTGAGCCTCAAACTATGAAAAGTGGATCTAGAAATTCTATTTACGAAATGACCGTTAAGACGAATGAACCTTTGTAGGTAAAAGGGTTTAATGACCAGAACAATAATACAAATACTAACTGTTGCATTTGTACTTGCATAAAACAGAAGCCCAAATAAATGTGAATTATTTCAGACATTTTTAATCAGCAAAATAATGTTTGCATAAAATGTTCTCCTCTTGCCATGTGTGATGTTAAATATTTGCAACCAGGGAATGCCATTTAGATTTAAGCAGGAATTTAAAAGAAGCAACATCATTCCAGCAAAATATGTTTTAGTAAAGAGAGCACATCCAAACTAGGTTGGAAAACCTCCCCTGACAATATGAAGTCATTTTGTTGTGACATCAACTGAATTGTTTTAAAATGAGCAACTTATGACGAAGAAAAAGTTTTGGTTTCTTATAGAAAACCTGGCAGCATTATTTATTACTTTATTTTCAAATGTATAAAAATATAATTAATGTATCGTAGCAAGACAAAAAAGAAACATTTGAAAAAGAATTGGGAAGTACAAACTTTAATCCCATCCTTCTCCACAAGTTACTAATAATAATAGTAAGTTTTTTCCTGTTTCCTTATTCTAGATTACACAGAAATGAGTTCAATAAGACTTAAACAAAAATCAATTAATTTAATTATTCTATATAAATTATGTAACAGTAGTTATAAAATAGGGCAGCACGGTGGCGCAACTGGCAGAGCCGCTGCCTCTCAGCGAGCAGGTCCCCGGCTCAAACCCCGGTCCGGGGGCCCCTCCGTGTGCAGCTTGCATTTTCTCTCCGTGCAAGCACAGGTTTTCTCCGGGTACTCCAGTTTCCTCCCACAGACCAAAAACATGCATGTTAGGCTGATTGGTAACTCTGAATTGTCCCTAGGTGTGAGTGAAAGAGTGAATGGTTGTTTGTCTCGTTTGTCTCTATGTGTCCCTGTGATGGACTCACGACCTGTGCAGGGTGCACCCCCCTCCCCCCCAGACATGGGCACCCACGACCCCCGTGACCCAAAATGGAAGAAGCAGGTAAAAGATAATGGATGGATGGATAGTTATAAAATAAATTATCATTGATATATTACTTTTCTTTAAACTAATGACCATTATCAAATTATAATAACACACTCTCTGCATCAACATTTTTTTTTTTAAACTTGTAATTTTATTCCTATAAAACAGTTTCATGTTTGGACATTCTTTGAGTTCCCCATTCAAACTGTTCCACAGGTTTACTCCACACCGGAAAATACAAAATCGTTTACGAGTTGTATGAGCAGTCCCTGATTTAAAATTAAACTATCCCTTTAGATGATAATGAATAATGAAATGATAATCACCCTCCCCCCCATCCCATTTCATCAAATCATTTTAAGTATTTGCTTTGTACTTTAAATACAGTAGTATTAGTGATGTTTGTACTGCCACAAGATCTGAAACTATGAGCACTTTAGACTGCAAAATAATGTGTTTGCGTGGTCCCTATATCCAAACCCATGAATAATTTGTATTGCTTTCTTTTGCAGAATAAAAAAATGGTTGCATTACACTTTTATAATTATTGTCCCAGACCACTGCACAGTTATTTAAATATGGAAGAACTATTAACAGTAAAGAATGCTATAAGATTTGTTATTCGGAACCTGTTTTGGTTTATTCAATGTTGCATTCCCCCTTGCCACTTTAGCTTGTACATGTGAGATTTCCAGCATATTTGTTTGTCAATTATTACTCCCAAAAAATTATTTTCATTCACCCTGTCAATTTGAAACCCATCTAAATGCACTTGTAATTGTGGTTTAGTTCAGCCTGATCCAAAAAAAAAAAACTTTGTTTTGTTCGAGTTTACTATTAATGTATTTCTATCAAGCCAAAATTTTATTTTTGTTAGCTCTGTTTTAATTGTATTACTAACAAATGCAAGTTTTCACCTGAGCAAACAATGTTTATATCATCAGCAACCGACACACACTTCAATGACTCTGATACCGTTCACAAATCACTAAAACACAAAATAAACAACTTAGGACCCAATACTGACCCCTGAGGGATGCCACAAGTAATGTACCCTGTCACAAAGATACTGTAACTTCGCCCATTTGCCCCTGACACCATAACATTCAGGTTTATTAATTAAAATGCTGTGATGTATGGTGTCAGATGCTTTCTTCAGGTCTAAGAATATTCCAACTGTGTAGTGTTTTTGTTTGTTTAAGTTTTGATCGACTGGCTCTGAATCTACTGACTCTCTGATTAATTCATGTTTGTCAGTGAATTTATTCAACAGGCTATTAAAGATTGATTTTTTTTTTTTTTTTTTGTATTTTGGGAAGCTGAGGTAATAATAAAACAGGTATAAAGTTTGTGAAGAGGTGTTTGTTCCCAGATTTAAACAGAGGTACAATTTTTGCTATTTCATTTTGTTTATGTACCAGTTTGAAATCATAAATTGCAGATGTACATTAGTAGTTTAGAAAGCCCCTCAATTACCTTTTTCAAAATAAACATATCAATATCATCACAATCTGTAATGTATTATTTTAACATTTAATAATTATTATTTCTTTCTCACGCACTGCTGTGAGGAACATTGAATTCAGATTTCTGTCTATGGGAGTGTCCACCTGCTCTATAGGTGGATCAAGGATTTGCTCTGTCAACTCAGATCTAATGCTGACAAAAAAAAAAATCAAAACTATTAACGCTTCATTCAAGTCATAATTAGCAGTATTATTAAATGAAAAATGGTGGCATGGTGGCTAAGTTGGTAGAGTTGTTGCTTCTTAGCAATAAGGGCCCCAAATCAAATCCAGGCCAGGGGCTTCTCTGGGTGGAGTTTGCATGTTCTCTCCATGCATGTGTGTATACTCCGTGTACTCCGGTTTCCTCCCACAGACCAAAAACATGCATGTTAGGCTGATTGGTAACTCTAAATTGTCCCTAGGTGAGAGTGAGTGAATGGTTATTATGTCTCTCTAAGTGTCCCTGTGATGGACTGGAGACCTGTCCCGGGTGTTCCCTTGCACAGTGATAGCTGGACATGGGCACCAGTGACCCCACAACCCGAACTAGAAAAAGCGAGTAAAAAAGATAATGGATGGATTAAATGCAAATAATTTTGGGTAACTTACTTACTTGTTTATAACCATAAGTTATATATTGTATGCATATTTGTCTGTTCCTCCTTCCTGTCCTCTCAAACCCCAACTGGTTGAAGCAGATGGCTGCTCATCCTGAGACTGGTTGTGCTGGAGGTTTCTTCCTGTTAAAAGTTTTTTTTTCCTTTCTACTGTTGACGGTGTGCTTGCTCAGGATGGCAGACTGCGACAAAGTTGCTTATTACTGTTTTTCTTATACATTTTATTGTTGGATGTAACCCTGTGTACATAATTTCGCTGCACCACATGTACCACATGTGGTGCGAATGACAATAAAGAATCTCTGACTATATAAATAAACTGAATTGAATCTTCCATATTACTTTAACATTTTTTTTTGTCCAATATTTTCTTATAGTATTCTTCTCTAGCTGTTCTTATGATAATAGTTAACTTACTTTTATATTTCTTATATTTATTTGTATGAAAGCCCGTTTCCGCCAATGAAAAGAAATAAAACGTCTGATGGTATGTCATAATTTTGACTTTGAAAGTCAAAATTATGACTTTTAAAGTCAAAATTATGACATACCATTGGAGGTTTTATTTATTTTCATTGGTGGAAACGGACTCATAATTTTCAGACCCTTTGTTTATCATGTCTTAAAAATTCCCTATACAGTACAATGTATTTTTCTTTTTACATGAATTTTGTAAACGTCTAGTGATCCAAACATGATGTTTACTTACATTTCTTATTAAATGTTATTATAGTGCATTTTATATCATGCAACTTTATAAATGTTTTTTTTTTTAAATCATCATATGCCATATTATGTTTTTTGAATTGTATCCATACCAAGATTGCGCCATTAGGTCTTTTTTAAATGCATTTATCTACATCTCAATGGGAATTTGAATGAAAACTCAAGAGAACAATTAAAAGCAACTCCATATGTTGCTACAGCTTTGTCACACATGTTGAACTCCATATTTGACTGCTTTTGCTTTGTTGTGAGTTGGTTAGGTGAGAGGTGCAGTCTACAGGAAAATCTGTGGTCAATTAGTGTCAGCTGTTTTGTTTTTATTTATATTTGATGCTTTTGTGCGTGTTTGTGATACTTTGCCCATTTTTGTGTTATGATAATGTCCCAGGCTGCTGACATAAATTAAATGTAATTCCGAGCCTCCGCCAGCAGGGGCGCTGTTGCCTCCTTCATACCCATAAGCGGGGGAGTGAGAGGTGCATGAAATGGAGAAAAATGGCGGATCATGTGCAGGTAAGCAGAGGTTTCATGTTTTTGTTACAAACACTTTGTCTCGGAGCGTGGGGATGTGGCTGGACGCGAATCCCGGTGCTCTGTTCCGGGCACGGAAGCGGTGTGTGGCCGGCGGGTGCAGCCGGGCTCGGCGTGAGCCTGTCGGGCAGTAAAAGAAAGGATGAGCAGCCTGTGTTGACTCGTGGCCTGCTGTCACTGCTGCTTGTTGCTGTTAGCTTGTGTTAGCTGCGGGACAGAAAGAAAACACAAGAAGCCTCGCTGTTCCACTTCGTGTGTTTCCCCCATGTCCGTTCGGAGCGGTAGGCTCATCACCACCGGGATAAAGGAGTGCTTTATGTGCGTTTTTCAAGATCTAAGAAATAAACAATGAAACAGAAGGACTGGCAGCGTACGAGTAGCTTCCAAGCTAACTCGCTCTGGTTTAGTGCCAGTTCGCGCCAGTGGGAGACACGCTGTAAATATTCATTATGTCAGGACCTGTGAGCCGGACGCTTGGTGTAGTGCTTTATGCTTCTTGGAGGCGTCCATATTTGTTTACGTCTGTTGTTTCAGGGCGCCTTGCAGGCTAGGCTAACGCTAGCCTCTGCTTAGACGTCAACTTCTCCCGCCCGAGCTGGTTTGAAATTATGACTCGGTGTGTTTAACTGTTTGTCGGTGAAAGCGGCTGCAGACCCACGGCTTGTGGGTCTTGGAGGGCTGAAGTCAGGGGCAGTGGCAGGTTTAACACATATATTCATGTACGTCGCTGCAGAGCTTTGTTTTTGTGCAAACATCCTCCCTAAAAAGCTTTGTGGTTCGATCCGAACATGTGGGAATCAAAGAGGACGGGGCTGAACTTCTGTTGTCCTAACAAACACTGCAGCTTTGCAAGTTTCCAATCATCATGCGCTTTCTGTTCTAGCAGACTGAATTTATGATAAAAGATTTATTTATCATTTGATTCACCAAACCAACAGTGCCTGCAGCCTGATGAGAGGCTGTGGTCCATCACTGATGGCATCTTCTTTAGAGTCAGCGTTTCACTCAACTGTGTGATGCTCTCTGAGAGGTGTGGACAAATAATCATTATTTTAAATACCCTTATATCAGACTGGGCCAGTTGCATATTTTACAGCTCAAAATAGCACAAATATTTCTAACAAACAAGTTTATTTAGTTATTTATTTTTGCTTTTAAGTGTCTTCATACACTAAGCATGAACTAAATTGAATTAATTTAAATGTATAACTTTTTTCCTGTTCTAATTGATGATCGTATTTTAAACTTATCAGCAGTTAGTTAATTAGGTTGTGTTATCTGTAATTACAATTTACGCTATCTGTTGTCTGAAACAGAAAATCAACAAGCTCACAACTTAAAAATAACTTGTTTTTGCTTTTGGCTGCTCCCTTCTTCAGGGGCCACAGCGAACTAAGTCGCACGAAGACTTGGCAATTGTTTTTACGCCGGATGCCCTTCCTGACACAGACCACCGAGCTACCACAGCCCTCAGTGTGGAGCAGGGAGCTGGGGCATCCAAGGGAGCAGGTGGTGGGAGTTAAGGGCCCAGAATGGGGCAATTGAGGGTGGAGGCAGGTGTGGGTGCTTCCCACCCACATTTTGATGTGTCGGTACCGGGAGTTGAACGGGTGATCTTCCGATCGCAGGTCCACCTTCTCTAACCTCTACACCACCGCTCCCTCCCCTTTAGAAAAAAATAACCTAAAATCAAGTAAAGTAGTTTTTAATTGTAATTCTGAGCATTTATTTATTTTACTGTATTTTATAAGCAAGTACTGTTTTCATATATTGTATACAATTTATAGAATTTATCTTTTTTTTTTTTTTGTTGTATTTTATATTTTATTGTGAAGCACTTCATGGTTTTTATCAAGGTAAGGTTCTATATAAACTTGACTTACCACCATGCTAAGTATTGCTATGGTAAATGTAAGTACACTGTTGAACCCAGGTCACTAATGAAGTGACCACAATAATACACACACAGCCATACACGTACCTCAGTAAAAACGTCTGTCCTAGTATAAAAGACTGAATTAAAATCTAAATTTAGCTTCTTTTTTTTATTGCTCTTAAGAACTGTGTGGTTTATCCTCCGTTTAAAGTTTTTTTTTTCATCTTTAATGTAGATGCCTTCTTTCACTCGTCTTTCAAACCACTTGTCTTTCCTGTTCAAAATGTGCACATTACTGTCCCCAGGAGGATCCTTTGTCCTTGAGATGCAGATGAACTGCTGAGTCTTGACCTGACGAGCTGGCTCCTCTCTGTTGTACGTCTTAATCTGAGAGTGTTCTTAGGTTTGAAATGAACTGGACTATTGTGCTTAGAAAAAAAAAATCCTTTAGAGATTTTCGGATATTCCAGCCACATATGGAATACCAATGTTCTTTCGTTTGTTTTACACTTTCATTTGATCGAGTTGTGTTTTCTTGATTTCCTGGATGCCTTAACATGATCCCAGTATGGGTAGCCACAGGTTCGGAGTGCGTTCTTAATGTGTTTGTGTTTCCTTCTGTCCATGTGTGGACCTGCTGGGCTCGATGCTGAAGAGTTCTGATTCCGGTCAGTCTGTGTTCCACCGGGTGGTGAGAATCAAGAGGCAGAGATTCATCTGTGTGTTTAGATTTTCTGTAGACTTCAGCGCTGAGGTTCCATCTCTTTCAATTGGTACCGATCCTTGTTATGAACTTTGCTGCTGTCCACCGAGTTATGTTCAGTAATAGCTTCCATTCGTTTGACTTGGAAATTGACCATATCCAAGTCAAAGGAGTGGAAGCTCAGCACTCAGAAATATATTTTTTTCCTGGCCAGTAAATGAACCAAATTTTGCTCTATGGTGGAGGTTCATACTGAGTGAAGAAGATGTAGGTGTTGTGTCACGATCTGTCCCTCCATTGGATTTGTTCCTCCATTTGTCAGAATATAATACATTAGAATGATTAGATTATTAGACTTTATCAGACGGGTGGACAAACGTTTTGACACACTGAGTTCTAAAATTGGAGCGAAGGACCGGGCCAGGAACAGATGGATGGAGTGTTTGTGTGATGTTACACCCCAGCACAATAACAGCCACTGGGACCTAATTAATTATGGGCGATTCCACCTTCTGCACCACTCAACAGCCACTAAGTCAGGATTATACGATAGAACAGTGATTTTATTTACAATAGTGAAATTATTGACTTTGTGGAGTTGTACCAACTTCAGGCCCAAACAACAAACAAAACAAACCACTGTATTTTCTCTTAGCTGAAGAAAAATCAAATGAACCAAACCACAAGTCTCTTATCTCACTATGCTAATGGTATACAGGAGAAAAGTTAAAATAAAGTGGCAGCTCACCTCTACAAACTCCTCACAAAACTTTACAAGTGCAGACGTCGTCCTTCTGCAGCTCCTCTTATGCAACATCACAGCAGAGTACCTGGACAATAATTCACACACACGTTTTTGTCTTTTTCTTTTGATCATTCACACACACACAGTTAACAGTTTCACACACAAAGCGTGACTCACAGTGATTCCTGATGGATGATGCAGTGAAGAAAAATAACTTCCTGGTCGGGTTTTCCTCGTTCATTTTATCCTGGATTCTTGTCAGCAGCCCGACATGTTTTCCACTTAGATTTGGTGATCGGTCTGTTGTGACAATGTCAAGTTTACTCCACGGTAGCTTCATTCTCTCGATGACAGCAGACGGTTATAAAAACCCTCTCCCCGTGTTTGTCCTTTCAGAGACTCCAGGGTCAAAAACACCTCCATTATCTCAACTGTTGTCAATCCCATAGATAAAAATTAGGAGCTGAGCATTGTCTTACATCATTACTTTCGTCCAGAGCTAACGCATACCGCAACTTAAAGGACTCTCTCTGCCTTTAGCTTATTTTGCTAAATCTTCATCAATCAGCTCCACAAGGCGAGTCACAGTTCTGCGTGTTAAACAGATTTTTTTCCAACTTGTCTTGGCCCTCTGGACACAATAGACCTGCTCTGTTTTTACCATGTTTCTTTAAAAAAAAATTACCTTTGGAGAAAGGCTTTATAGCATAGTTAGCAGTTAGCAAATTGTTCTCTTTGAAAACCACGACAGTTTCTTGGCATAAAAACTGCCTTTGATTGGACCTCAGTGAAACAATATGTTGTTCACTCCATATTAAACACTCAGCATTCACTGTTCACTTTTATTTTCTTAGATAAACTTGTTTTTACAGACGAATTCGTAGGACAAAGTGAAATAAAATTGTAAAAGAAGAAATTACTTCTTCTCCGCTGTTACTTTGCCTCTAATACACGCCAGTGTCTGTAGTGCGCCTCTACTGGGAAAATGCAGGAACTACAGGTAAAACTACACCAGTTTTTTCCATATTAAATGCAGTTTTTTAAATATAATTTGGACCAGTGGCGATTTTAACCTCGTTTTGGGGGTGCTTAAGCGCCCACCCTTGGAAAAATAAAGTTTTTTTTTTTTTTTTTTGTCCAAATGGCCGGGTTTTGCCCATAGTCATTAGGTTGTGTTTCCACTGCTACAGTAGAAAAAAGGGGAGAAAACGGCACGCGTCATAAAATCCCATTGCCTAAGTCTGTAGAGACTGAGTAAAATAAAGCATAGCTGGTAAAAGAGGATCCCAACAGAACACAACCAAACAAAAACAAGTCTCCAATAAATCTGTCTTCACATAGAATCAGTGGCACGTGGCTGCTGTCTCCTGAAGACACGTTTATTAACAGCTTGTGTTTACATCATGAGAATGGAAATTAAAAATTTTAACAGCAACAAAAAAAGCCATCGGTCTGCCGTTGGAAACCCTGCAGGCTCTGCTTGCTGTCTGCCTCTGTTTTAGGAGGATACCAGCACACGGGCACCTTTCAAACATGAGCTGGATGCTGCTGGCAGCAGTGCTCATTGTGCTCCTCAGACCAGCTCTTGTTCTACCGTACACTTTTTAAACCTGCCACAAAGTATTAGGAAGTATCCACAGAGCGTGAACGTAATCCTGAACAGACCTCCTCAGATTTCAGCACCTTTTTTACTCTCATTTGTTCACAAAGTCTGCTGAGGAAGAGAGGACTTTAGTTAAATCGGCTGTTAGATTTCTAATCAATAATATCTAACAACAATCTTTTGTTTCAAACTTAGTTTAAATCCAAACTACACAAAGTCGTTCTTCTGTTTTTGTTATTTATTTATTATTTTCATTGCACTGTTTGTTGCTGAGCTGGAGCCTTAATGACATCTGTATTGTTTGCAGTAGTTTGACGGCATTGATTGGAGAGTTTTGGAGAATGAGCAGTATTTGCTTTCTGTCCCAGGAACGTAGCATCTATGGCTCTGTTTACACTGTGCATTTCTTGAGTGAAACCGGAGCTTTACTGCTGCGGTTCGGCTGTTTGTGAACACATCAACAGCCCTCGTTCTCTCTGAAGCCGAAGGTTTCTGGATCCAGATCTCAGAGTGGAGATTTTTAGGCGAAACCCCCACGGTGGTGATCTGAACATTTGTATTTACAATTCATTTGCAGTTCCTTCCATGGAAAATAAGAATATTTTCTTTAACCGAAACACATGTTTTGCTGGAGTCCAGTTTAAAGTGCTACATAAATGAAGAAAATGAAGTTGCATTAAAAATTGCATTTCAAATTGTGTGTCGTTGCAGGTGAATCTACTTGTGGTTAAAATATTGCTCCTGAAAGATACAGTTGATGGCAAAGTCCTCATCGCCATCATCACTTTCTTAGTTCGGGTGTCCAAGTTTTGAAACAATGCATCAAGTGAAAAATTCAACATTTTATTTTTACCACAGGACCACTTTGTGTGGAATGGCCCTGGAGTAGTTTTCCTTAAGTAGTCCGTATTAAATTTTGATGTGTTGTTAACTCGGCAACTTTAACTGTGGGCACAGCCAACTTGAACATGTTCTCTATTTGTTTGTGGAAAAAAAGCGGCTGATGACGTTTAACAAATATTTACTGTTCGTTTTAGGTTAGTGTTAGCATCTTTTGTCAATTTTCAAGTCTGACAGTATGATGGTGAGCCTTCTCAAAGTAAATGGAAGGAGACGAGTCCATCAGCAAGATCGGACTTCCTGCATGATGACTCCATTAATCACAAAGGGGCCAGACTGAACTGAACGTTCTGTTCCAACAGTTCGGGTCAAGCACCCTCTCCCTGATCCTTTCTTAATATTCATTTATGTTCAGCTTTATCAGTGTAAAGTGAGTGTGCTCATCTCGTGCAGCAGATGGCACGTGTGCAGGCTGGGCTTGGTGCTGAGCTCTTATCTAAGGTCTGCAGAGAGTGACGACACACGATGCAACGCCTGCACACACCGGCACGCTTTGACCTGCCGAGCTTCAAGCTCCTCACTCGCTGGTGCGAATGAACGCAGCACCACTCAGACATAATCATCTGGACCCTCACCTCCTCTGCAGGTGTTGTCTAACCAGACTGCCCCCACCATTTTGAACGTGTCTGTGACCAGCATCTCACTGAGCATGACTCAGCGTTTTGCGCGCCTTCCTGCCACTTTGGTGGAATTTGATATTAATGTTCTTCAGTCTGTCCTCGTCAAAGAACTGTTGGAAAACAAACGCACATATTTACAGTGTCTGCTAACAGAACAATGGTGTTTGAATAGAGGGAAAAACATCTGGTTTAGTGTTTAACGTGCAAAATGAAATGAAGTTGTTTACATTATACAGATATTTCTCATGAAGTCATTGGATACAACTGTTTAATGATAATGTTGTTTTTCTGGCTTTTTGGTGAAATTCCTTAACTTGAGCGTCACATGCCGTCCAGCAGCTGATAAGTTTCCATGTTTGTGTGTTTGTTTAGGGCCTTGCCCAGCTGGAGATCCTGTGTAAGCAGCTGTACGAGACCACAGACACCGCCGTCCGACACCAGGCAGAGAAAGCGCTGGTGGAGTTTACCAACAGTCCAGACTGTCTCAGTCAATGTCAGCTGCTCCTGGAGAGAGGCAGTGTGAGTACCCTGTTGAAATATTACCAGAGTACATCAGTATGCATTCATACGAGGGGAAAAGTCCAAATATAACTTGTAGGAGTACAACAAAACACAACAAACTTTATAATTTTGATATTTGTTACAGCTGAGTGTGAGTTAATGTACTTGAATCAGCACTTTACTGATTAGAGTTTAGTTATCACAGCTGGTGGTGCCGCTCTTTAACACGTTAAGCTACAAAGAAAAAAATCAACGTTGATGTGAAACATGAAAAAGATTTGCTTCAACATGTTTATGGTTTTATTGTTAATTTTATACAACTTAAATGACTCTCACTAACATGTTCTTTCTTTCGTCAAAGTCTTCATATTCTCAGCTGCTTGCCGCCACCTGTTTATCCAAACTGGTGTCTCGGACCAGTAACCCATTACCCCTTGAGCAGCGCATCGACATCCGTGAGTATTTTTTCTTTTCCAGTTCAACTCCTGCCAAATTGTTCATACATTTTGTCCAAAAAATGTAATTTATTTTATGAACCCTCTGATTATATTTTCAAGATCAAACGTTTTATTTCAGCATTTATTTATTTTTTTTCTGAGCTTTTAAAGTGGGTCTTGAATAGGGAGGTCACACTGCTGCCGGTCTGAGCAGAACACAAACCTACAGTGAAAGGTTTCAATAGTCCGTGCGGATTGCAGCAGAGAATCGGGACGTATGCTCCTCTTTCACGTCATACGACAAGCTTGCTCTATTAGTTTGTTGTGATTTCATCGCCCTTTTTAAAAATCATACATTTTTCCCTAAAATGGTAGAAACGGTTTACTTGTGCTTGACAATAACGTTGTAGTCAGAGGGATATTCCAATGTTTCGAAAGAGATAGAAAGAAAAGGAAGGAGTTGCTTCTATTAATTGAACGGTTCAGTGAGGTCTCAGATGGACTCTGCCGGGGCCCTCGTGGAACTCCAAGAACATGTTGATTTAAATTGAACTTCAAAGGGAAAGTATATATAGACACAAATGTTCTTGGCAAGTTCTTCCACTTGCCCTCTTCTATCGCTCGTCTGGAGGCTTCTGTGCGGGGTGTGCTCTCCTATGGCCTCAGTAACTTCTCTCCCAGTCCATTGGCTTTTTGAAACAGGTTTTTGAATCTGACTCTAGTCTTGACAATCTACCAAGTATTAAATATTGTACGTCTGAACAGAGGCTTGGTGTGAGGCTTGTGTTGGTGACTCACAGTTTGAGCTTGAAACACATGTTTTTAGTGCAGCATGATGGTCTCGCCCTAGCTTTTGTCTGAGATCACTTTATTCACAATCCGTTATGAGTACTAATGCTATGCTACATGCATGTAGCCGTACACAGTGCTCTGCAAATTCCCGCTCATTATAACGGGATAAACGCTGTTTCTAAAGTCACTACAGGCTCTATAGTTACAGGAGAATACTTTTGTTGTCATTTCATTTAAAAAAAAAATACAGAAAAGTGTTCATCTGGCATTTCTGAATAATAATCACCACCACCATGGCAATGTCATGTTATTTTTCAACAAATGTAACAAAGATATACAAAACGTGAATAAATATTGCAAATAAAAAATCAAGATACAATTGAACTCTTCAACTCTACAAATGGGCTATAAGGCGTTTTCTCAGTGTTGTGCTGAAATGTTTTTGTGTTAATGTACCAGTCTCTGTTGTGAAAGAGTTTCTTTATTTTTTTATTTGATGATTTTGTTCTCAAACTGTTTTTCTTTTCTCCTAACTAATGAAAAAGTTTGATTTTACTGTTGATTGTCAAGTCTACAGATTTTACAAACAACTGTTGAGATAAAAATGAGGCGACTAATAAATTAAGTAAATTATGCTTTAAAGCAAAAAGTTTTACTCTTCATGAGGATGCCGTTGATTAATAATTTCCTCTTAGCTCTATATTTATTCAGTAAAAATGTTGACATATTTGCATCAACATTCAAAGAAACCATGCAATGCTGTAGTTTCCGTATGTGCCGTCTTGAGACTGAGGTTTGTCTTTTTGTTCAGGGAACTATGTACTGAATTATTTGGCAACAAGGCCGAAGTTAGCAGCGTTTGTAACCCAGGCGTTGATCCAGCTGTATGCCAGGATCACCAAACTGGGTTGGTTCGACTCTCAGAAAGATGACTACGTCTTCAGAAACGTCATCGCCGATGTTACTCGCTTCCTACAGGTAAACATCCGTTTTCATTGAAAAACACTGAAGCACCACGAGCAAGTTCTCCTGAGTTGTCAGATGCTTTTGTTTATGGATGTCAGGAATATTTAAGAAAGGTCAGGTCACTGAATTTGAATCAGATCTGATGAGTCATCATCCAGCTGTTGTTACTGAGCCAGATGAGCTGAAGGAGAGCGAAGAGGATCAGTTGAAACTGAATGAGTTGAACCACCTGTGTGTCTCTGGATCCGTGTGTTTACAGGACAGTGTTGAGAACTGCATCATAGGCGTCACCATTCTGTCCCAGCTGACGAATGAGATCAATCAGGTAAGTTGTCCTCGGCTCTTACCTGGATTTTAAGCTGTATCAGAAGTGTCTCATCCAAGGATTCAAGTGTTCAAGGTTCTTGGCATCGCTTGTTGTACATGAGGTGGAACGAAATTGTGTACACAGGGTCCCAGTTACATCCAACAATAGCAAAAATATAAAGTGTAAAAAGAAACAGTAAATGAGGATCTAAGTTTTGAACTAAGATATACGCAAAACGAATACCAAACGGTTCACTAAAAGATCTAAGATATACACTAGTCCCTAAAAGTGCAAAAGAATACACTGAACAGCAGCAGCACGATTCTCATGGTTCTGTTCAGCTATAATTTACACGCTAATGCGAGCGGAGTCGGGCTTGGAGCCGACCCCAAAACTAACATAAACTGGGATTCATTCAAAGCATTAGGGGTGCGAATCTCTGTGTCTGGCGATTCGATTCTGATTTTTGGCGTCACGATACGATTCAAAATCGATTTTTCGGTTCAGAAATGATTTTTCTATTGAAATGGTCATAAATTTTGTTTCACTTATGTAACTGACAAGCTGAAAAGATTAAACAACAATGTAAACAAATAGAACATTTATTTAAAACAATAGTTTTCGTTCTTTTACTGTATCAAATCTTTTCGCATCGTTTTGTATTTATACCAAAAATAGGAACAAATATAGGAGTGCATAAAATTCTGTAACTTAAATTACCAGTAATAGGTTAGCTTAGTTGCCTGGATTTTTCTAAAAAAATAAATAAATAAATCTAGGAACAAACAATTCATCCATCATCTTTATCCACTTCTTCCTTTACGAGTCACAGGTGTCACTGGTGCCCATATCAGCCATCACTGTGTGAGAGGTGGGGGACAACATGTCTCCAGTCCATCACAGACAAATAATTCAAAATATATAAATATAAAAGTAAACAGACTTCAGCCTACCATAGTACATTAACCTTTAACTCAACATAAAATACAGACTTCACAGTATTTTAACCATATTGCTCTAACATTTGTTATATTTTCAAAACTTAACCTAATATGAAATATACAGACTTCAGTCTTAACCATATTGATTCATATTTAGTCAATCTTGAACAAAATTTCAAAACCTGTGCAAGTTTGCACAAAAACTTCTGAACTATAATTTATAAACCGTATCATTTAGAACTGGCTCCAGGTGATGTGTCTCATCTGTCCTCTTCAACCTGTTAAAAATACAAATTACATAAAGTTTGTTGAACAACTTGTCTATAAGTTTTAGTATAATATGAGAAATAACATTTTACCTTTGAGCTGCAGCTGCATCAGAGCTTCTCCCATTTGTTGTTTCATGGTGAAGTTGTGATGCTGCTTTATTGCAAAAAAATCTAAGTGAAGGAATAACGTACTCCAGCATTTTAAAAATAAACCTGAACCTCTCACCTTCCACTGAGCTGTCTGCTCATAAATCCTTAGTGATGCAGCAGGAGATGGAGGGAAATCTTCACAGCCTTTGGGGAATCAGCTGAAAGTTTGTTTCGGAGTTCGCTGGTCGGCTGCTTCGCTTTCATCTTCCGCACATTTTGTCGTATTTCCAAAACACTTTACTGCGTTTTTATGTTTTACACTTCTTGTAAACAACTGTGCTCTTGTGGAGCTCTGTCTTCCCCCAGAACATTGTAGGATCAGAAATGATTTTTAAAGACGAAGAAGCAGGTTGAATTACGCTGTCTCCCTCCTCCATGCTAGCAGGCTCCATTCAGATAAAGGAGCTGGCTAACTAGCTTGCTGTACGGTGGCCTACAATGCCCAATTCTGCGGCGGCCGAGCGGACACGTAATGTGATATTCAGTACGCTCGGGAATAGGAGCGGGAAAAAATAAAACTTAAACGCATTTTAAAATCAATTTATGGGCCTTAAGAATCAATTCAGAATCGCCAGGACTAAGAATGTAGATTCTTTAATAAATTGTTTTTTTTTTCTGCACCCCTACAAAGCATGCAACAAAAATACAGAAACAAGGCGCCCAAAGTGGAAAAAGAACTAAATCTACAGCAGCACGGTCCTATTGGCAGAGTGGTTCTGATCACAGTGAGGTTCTCTTAGCAACATGGACGCAGCCAGGACTAAAGTGGATTGCTGCCTTCTTTGAAATCACACTGAAGGCCAACACTGAACAGCATGCCAAGTTTAAATGGCAGTGAATCATTAGTAGCATCAACATCTAGCATTTAAAGTATTTGTATTACTCTTTTCGTCAGTGCACATATAAAAATCTAACCAGGCACGAAAAAAGAATCCAATTATATGAGCTTGTCATGAAAGGATTTTTTCATTGTATTGAAAGTATTGACCAATGTTTTTTGTCCTTCTCAGGCCGACACAACACATCCGTTGACCAAACATAGAAAAATAGCTTCATCGTTCAGAGACTCGTCCCTCTTCGACATCTTCACTCTTTCCTGCAACCTCCTCAAACAGGTTTGTTCCAAAGGATCACAGATGTTGGGACGATACGTCCTACCCTCCACTTCTCAGCCTTGTACAGACTGGTCAGGTTTAATTAGGAACTGAAAACTTAGTATATGTATATCTACAGAAGAAATGCATTCAACTTAAGACGGTACTGTGCAGAAGTTAAGATGGGTGTGGGGAACAGTGCTGTCAGCTGAGAATGCTTTGTCATGTGTACATTTTACTGTAAGTCATTTACAAAATGCAAAGTGAGATCAAAGATGGAAAAGTACTGGTGTGACTACTATTGTCAGTTCTAGGCAGACTTGCACAGTCAGAGGTTTAGTAGGAATACACTTTGGTTTATGATTGACCTTTTATACCAAACAGGTGCTAATAATTAACACTTTCATATAGAGGTAAAATAAAAACATTGTGTAGAAAGCTTAAAACTGGGTGCTCAACAAGCAAAACTTCCTAAGCTGAGGTTATGGAAGTCAGGTTTATGTCACCAGTCAAACACTGGCGAGTTTTAGCAAAGCAACTAGACACAAGGTACAGTGGGGCAAAAGTATTTTGTCAGCCACTGACTGTGCAAGTTCTCCTACTTAGAAAATGAGAGGTCTTTAATTTTCATCATAGGTTCACTTCAACCATGACAGGCAAAATGAGGGAAAAAATCCAGGAAATCACATTGTAGGATTTTTAAAGAATTTATTTGTTAATTATGGTGGAAAATAAGTATTTGGTCAATAACAAACTTACAAGATTTCTGGCTCTCACAGACCTGTAACTTCTTCTTTAAGAAGCTCTTCTGTCCTCCACTTGTTACCTGTATTAATGGACCTGTTTGACCTCATCTGTATAAGACACCTGTCCACAGCCTCAAACAGTCGGACTCCAAACTCAACCATGGACAAGACCAAAGAGCTGTCGAAGGACACCAGGAAGAAAATTGTAGACGTGCAGCTGGGAAGAGTGAATCTGCGATAGGCAGCAGGTTGGTGTGAATAATTCAACCGTGGGAGCAATTGTAAGAAAATGGAAGACACAAGTTCACTGATGATCTCCCTCGATCTGGGGCCCCACGCAAGATCTCATCTCGTGGGGTCAAAATGATCATGAGAACGGTGCGCAAAAAATCCCAGAACTACACGGAGGGACCTGATAAATGACCTGCAGAGAGCTGGGACCAAAGTAACGAAGGCTACACAGTACGCAGAGAGGGACTCAAATTCTGCAGTGCCAGGTGTGTCCCCCTGCTGAAGCCAGTACTTGTCCAGGCCCATCTGAAGTTTGCCAGAGAACATATGGATGATCCAGAAGAGGACTGGGAGAATATCATGTGGTCAGATGAAACCAAAACAGAACTTTTTGGTAAAAACTCAACTCGTCATGTTTGGAGGAAGAAGAATTCTGAGTTGCATTCCAAGAACACCGTACCTACTGTGAAGCATGGAGGTGGAAACATCATGTTTTGGGGCTGTTTTTGTGCAAAGGGGACAGGACGACTGATCCGTGTTAAGGGAAGAATGAATGAGGTCATGTATCGTGAAATTTTAAGTCTAAACCTTTCATCAGTGAGAGCACTGAAGATGGAACGTGGCTGGGTCTTCCAGCATGACAGTGATCCCAAACACACCGCTCGGGCAACGAAGAGTGGCTCCGTAAAAAGCATTTCAAGGTCCTGGAGTGGCCTAGCCAGTCTCCAGACCTCAACCCCATAGACAATTTGTGGAGGCAGCAACAGCCCCAAAACATCACTGCTGTAGAGGAGATCTGCAGAGGAATGGACCAAAATACAGCTACAATGGTGAAGACTTACAGGAAACATTTGACCTCTGTCATTAAAACAAGGTTTATGTTACAAAGTACTGAGCTGAACTTTTGTTGTTGAACAAATACTTATTTTCTCCATAATTTACAAATAAATTCTTTAAAAATCTAAAATGTGATTTCCTGGATCCCCCCCCCCCCCCCCCCCCCCTAACTTTGTCTCTCATAGTTGAAGTGTGCCTATGATGAAAATTACAGACCTCTCATCTTTCTAATTAGGAGAACTTGTACAGTCAGTGGCCGCCTAAATACTTTTTTACCCCACTGTAGTTCTACTACATCGGTCAGGTCTCAACCAGATGGTTTTATCAGGTTTGGGGGTTTCAGTATGTGCTCAAGGTTTTTTTTTAACACAACACAAAGAATCAAGCGATACTATGAAAACCCAGTTCTCCACCAAATAAATTCAGTGCAGCAGATGAAAGATGCCTCATGTTCACTGCCCTTGAAGAACAGAAGGTGTCCAGGAGTGTGCAGTATGCTAAAGGCTAGGTTAGCTTGGTGAGCTTACACACACTTTTGATTTATCAAGATATTGTAAAATAGTAATGATAATATAAAAAAGAGAGTGTTCTTTCAATTGATTAGTTCAGGATACAATTAGAAAGTCTCTGGATGAGCTAATTTGTATTTCTGGATTCAAATCAATGAAATAACAGTTCCTGTCCCATGAAGGTCTTCAGAGGCAGGTTTGACCAGAGGCCTAGTTCACTACAAGTGCCATCAGCTCAGAAACAAACAGGAACCAGGTACTCTCGTCTACTGTCCAGTGGACAAAAGTGGTTTTCATGGAGGAAACAGTCAGAAAATCTGGAGACTGAACTATGCAGAGAAATATAAGAAGTGAGGTGCAGAACAAGGCGGCAGGTGCTTTGAACTGATGAGTGAAATCTGTGGTAAAAAAACAAAAAAGCTGTTTGTTGAAGAACTGAAAAGCTTTACAGTAAAGCATCAGGTGCCCCTTTTTAAAGAACATGCACCAGTGTTTATATAGGTGTCCATATGGCCCCAACACCCCAGTTAACAGATGATCACTGCTTGATCAGCAAATTAAAAAAAAGTGTAAAACAAATGTAGTAGGGCCAAGCAGAGGAATCTGAAGTTTATTATCAAATTGAGCAAATTAAGCAGAGACTTCACTGATCAGGCTTTGGCTGGAGAACTGAGTTCTGCCTGATCTTTTACAGACGATATGGGTGTCTTGTCTTTGTGTTTCAGGCTTCAGGGAAGAATCTGAACCTTAACGATGAATCCCAACACGGTCTGCTGATGCAGCTCCTCAAACTCAGCTACAATTGCCTCAACTTCGACTTTATAGGAACTTCCACAGACGAGTCGTCAGACGATCTTTGCACCGTACAGATTCCTACATCGTGGAGATCAGGTAGCCGAGCGTGACACTTCTTTACACAAAAAGTGAAGTGAGCGATACTTTGTCTTGTTTAGGACTTATTATTCAGATTGTTGAATAAGTAGATAAATTGCCTGAAACTAAAACGTTCTGCTTCAGTAAATGTTTGTAATAAAAATCACAGATTAACAGAATCACTGTTCAAAGCTTTGAACACCAACCCTCCTGACATGCAATTGCAATTAGTCTAGAACTGGCCTAAAAAAAACATTTTTCTTCAAAGCATAACTTTGTGGATAACAGAACATACAGAACACAGATCCAACACCACATGTATCAATAATGTGTGTGCACAGAAACCATGCGTGAGCTTTTTGCTGCACACAATCTGATATTTACATAAAAGATGAATGTAGTGAGAGTGATCTGACGTGTACACATTGGGGATGGGTGCAGTAGTCCCTTTCTATTCTACGGTTTTTCTTGGACTCGCTCTATCGTGGTTTTTCAAAATAAGATTGGACATGACACACAACTGGCTGATTGATGGATGAAATGCGCGATCGGCTTGGAATTTTTGTTTAAATCAAATTATTTGTAATTATTTAGCACCTGTGTGCAGCCCACAGCTGCAGGAGAAGCTTCCTCCTGCAGCTTGTCAGGATCTCCGCTCTGCAGCGGAGAAGTGGGCGTGGCCAAGAATGCTGGCAGAGAGCTGAGATCATGACATGCTGTGCTCTTTTAGAGCGTTTAGAAATATTGCTTAGAATATTGCAAGAGTGTGGGAAGGGTTTAAAACACCTTAATATATATACAGTATATATAAATACTAAAATAAATACTACTTGTACTATTCCTACTTTGCAGTTTTTCCACTTATCACTGGGCTTCAGGGTACGGATCCACCTCAGTAAACGAGAGATTACTGTACTTTAAACCAAAACACCCCAATGTCGTCTATATTGTTTAAAATTCTCTTCAAGTTTTTGAACTTCCACTTGTCCTGTCCCTCCCCCCAAACTCCTTTCAGCCACCACTCCAAACATAGGACCAATTTGTAGCAATTCATTCTTACAAAGCGTGTTTATTTCATCTATTATCCATGCAGGGCTAATTAATAAAACACAGTAAGTGTCAGTATAAAATAATGGCACATATTCTGAAAGTCAGATCTCACCTCTGACCTTAGTCTCCTCTTTATAATATTTTCAAACTGAACTTGGACTGAGTTGTATTTTTTTCTTGAGTGGAGGATTGGGGCAGCAGGTTTTGCATCAAAAAAGCACCATTAATAAACAACTTGGCATGTCACTACTAGGAGCCGGTGTTCTCACAGACGATTGTCACGGTTCTACTAATCCGTAAATGTGCGCATTGAAATCTGAATTCAAATGTTCCCTCTCCCATTCGTACATGCTCGTTGAGCTATTTAGCCAAATTTAGTGAAGTAGAATTAAAAACAGGTCTTCTCTGCATGCTCACTTTCCTGTCTTTTCTTTCTTCAGTGTAAAATGTTCACTACTTGCTGTTTTATTTCTCTCCCGCAGCGTTTCTTGATTCCTCCACACTGCAGCTGTTTTTCAATTTATATCATTCCCTCCCTCCGTCCCTTTCCCCGTTGGTAAGTAGTAGCACTCGTGTCGTTTAGCACGTGGAGTCCCCAGTGAATATTCCCATGCGAGTCTGAGCGCGTTGTGTTTTCTTGCAGGTGTTGTCTTGTTTAGTTCAGATAGCCTCTGTCAGGAGGTCCCTCTTTAACAACGCAGAGCGAGCAAAGTTCCTTTCACATTTGGTGGACGGTGTTAAGAGGATATTAACGAACCCACAGGTAACAAACCCGTCTGCTTTACTGAACATGTGCTGCTGTTTCTTTGTGCCATTTTGTGACGCGCGTTTGTGCGACAGTGTTTGCCAGATCCCAACAACTACCACGAGTTCTGTCGACTGCTGGCGAGGTTAAAGAGTAACTACCAGCTTGGAGAGCTGGTCAAAGTAGAGAACTACCCAGAGGTGATTCGCCTTATAGCCAATTTTACCGTCACCAGCCTGCAGGTGGGTAGTTGTTCTGAGCAGCAGCCAGTTCAGATCTTAGGTTGTTGTTGATTGTGTGTTTTCAATCACAATAAAAGTTTAATGACAGAGTGTTTCTCACTTCCTGTTGTCCTGCTGTGTTCCAGCACTGGGAGTTTGCCCCCAACAGCGTTCACTACCTGCTGAGTCTATGGCAGCGCCTGGCAGCATCGGTCCCCTACGTCAAAGCCACAGAGCCCCACCTGCTGGAGACGTACACCCCAGAGGTGACCAAGGCCTACATCACGTCACGGCTCGAGTCGGTCCACGTTATCCTCAGGTACAAGCTACACGCATTCACACACAAACTGTACTTTTTGTCACGTTTTTAACCAGTTAAAATGTTTCTGTTGGAGCAGGTTTATTAAACCACATGATGCCATTGATGTTACATGACACCAGATTCAAAATATTTTACTAGTTTTAAGATTGGTTAAAAGTTAAGTGTCTTGAAGGTGGAAGACGATGAAGGTTCTTCCCTTCGAAGGACATAAAGTAAAACACTGCTACTTTTAATGTTGTGCAGTATAGGGTTTAAATTGCCTGTGACATGCATAGGTTACATATACAAAGAGTGAAAGAAAACACCTTAATAAAAAAGATTAAATCATGTCATCTGGACCAGTTTCTTTAAGGGAGAAACGTTTCGTCTTCCATCCAGAAGACTTCATCAGTCTGCTCTGCCAACCAGATCTGTCCCATAAGTAGCCTTCATTGCTGTGTTTCAAGCCAACCTCCTGTTGGATTCTCAGAAGCAGGCTTTTAACACAAGCAAAAGGACCCATCTGTCTAAAACAATCAATCATCGTGTATAATAATCAAATGTTTTAGGCCAGATGGCTGACTTGCTACTCACAGAAACAGCCTGAAGACACCAAGGCCAAAATGGTTTATCTACCTGGATGATTGAGCCTACAAACCTTAAAAAAATTTTTTTTTTAAATTATGAAATTTGGCATAAAACATGATTTTACCCATTTTGTCACATAACTGGCATATATCTTTGAAACCTGGTGCAGCCAAAGTGAAACAGGAAGTGACATCACTGGTGAACTCTGAAACAGGATTATTTGAACTCTGACTCTTCTTCTTCTCGCTCTCTGATTGTGACTCAAAATAATCTAAAGAAACGTCAGATTCTTCTCTACTGTCCGTGTTGTTAGTCGTTGTTAGTCGTTTGTTCACATGCAGGCGTTCCTCTTTGTCGTCACTTCCTGTTATTGCGCATGAGAATTTCTCAACAACTGTTCATCTCAGCGGCGTTTGATTATTATATATTTTTTACAATACGCTGTTAGTGTTATCTTTAAAACAATGCATTCATGTTTATTTAAAAATTTGATGACACAAGCACTTTATAACTTTGTTATTAACGAATGGAGTTAATGTTTTAAGTTTGTTAGCAAAGTTTAATCGCTGGATGGATTTATTCGAACCTGTCACAAAGTAATCATTGGGTCTTGTACCAAATAACTTTTGGAGTCTGCCTGATTTGAGATAGCAAAGTTGACTGACCTGTAGAAGCCTAAAAATGACTATAACTTAGATAATTGTAGATATTAAGCTAACATTGAGTATGATGGTAGTTGAGTCATCCTCAACATTACTCCAAGAGCTAACTCGTCTCGTGAGATTATCCATAAATCATTTACAAGGTTTCAGCAAAAAAATAAAAGCAGTAACTGCATCTCTTTTCATTGGAAGGTGACCCATGTTTACGACTCACACATGAAAGGGTGATACTCAGCCCTTCAAGAATTGCCAGAGCATCATCTTTAAAATAAATAAATTGTAGGAGTGGTATGATGGGAAAACTTAGTGGTTTTGACTAAGTAACTTTTAAAACCATTGTTTCCTGACAACAGGAACTGGTCAAAGCCTGGTGTGTCCCCTCACCACCTGCAGGCCAGTCCAGACCATCTTGTTCCTAATTCACTCAGCTTTTAATTGTCTTTTTGTGGTTGAAGCCTTTCTGTTCATTGACTTTTTGTTTCTGAAATATAAAAAAAAAATACAGCAACGTCCTCAGCATTGTTTGAAAAACGGGTACGTGAAGTCCATCTTTAACTCCAGTTAGTTTGTCTCACTGGTTTACTGTCACCGGAGTGTTTGAAGGAAGGACAGGAGCTGAACAAACATCCAGGTCTTCTGGAGTTATGACGTGTACATGTTCTCTCCACAGAGACGGCTTAGAAGACCCCCTGGATGACGCTGGTCTCGTCCAGCAGCAGTTAGACCAGTTATCTACCATCGGCAGGTGCGAATACGAGAAGACGTGCGCTCTGCTCGTCCAGCTGTTCGACCAGGCAGCACAGACCTACCAGGAGCTGCTGCAGTCCACCAACTCGAGCACTGTGGATGTCACGGTGCAGGAAGGTGTGCTCAGCTGACACAACTGTTGCAGTGATAACATTTCCCCCTCATTCATCTGCTTTCATGTTGTTTCAGGGCTTAGGTAGGATCCACTTGATGCGGAGCAGTCGGTTCTTTATTCACACTTGACAAGTCTGATTTCCTGTCCCCTGGCAGGTCGCTTGACGTGGTTGGTTTATATAATCGGGGCGGTGATCGGAGGACGGGTGTCGTTTGCAAGTACAGATGAGCAGGATGCCATGGACGGAGAGTTAGTCTGCAGGTAAGTCTGTCAGAACCCTGGAAGGTCTTTAAAAGTTCAGTCGCTGCTGATCCCGTTCGTATATTTTTTTCTTGACGAGTACTTAAAGAGAACCACTCTGTCGTCCATCACCAAACTCACGCTGCGTTCAAGATTCAGTGCACGCAGGGGTTTCAAAGCATGTTCGTCTGTGTCAGGGTGCTGCAGCTGATGAACCTGACGGACTCCCGGCTTGCTCAGGCTGGAAACGAGAGGTTGGAGCTGGCCATGCTCAGCTTTTTCGAACAGTTCCGAAAGATCTACATCGGAGACCAGGTGCAGAAATCATCCAAGGTGAGCTCTGCAGCCAGAGTAACTCTGTTGTTGTTTTATTACGTCCAGGGACATTTGTTGTCTTTTAGGCCAAAACAACAAAAACAGTAATGTGAACTAGAAAACATGATCCCATGTAACTTCGTCTTTGAGGCAATCCAGGGGAAGAAATGTTTCTTCAGAACGTTTTACAAGATTGTTGTGGCATCATTTTAAACTATCAGTGACCTGAACATGAGTTTTTTTTTTTTTTTACAAATCTTTTCAAATAAGTTAAAACACTCTGGATAGTCAGCATCTATGGCTTTTAAATGGACACACTATAGTCTATAGAAACTGTCGAGACTTGAATACATTTTTAGACACATGAAACAAGTAGATGAGATTCTGACAAGAGCTTCTGAGACCAGCTGCTCTTGATTTAAGTGTGAAGCTTCTTGGTATATTAAAAATGGTAAATACTCAAACACGGTACATGGTTTAGCTGTTTAACTGTGTTACTTTACATCAAGAAGATCACTGGACGTGTGGTGTAATGCAGCGATTCTTAAAGTAGGGTTGAAACTCCACCGTTGATCATAAAACACCAAGTTGGAGGTTCTGAAATCACCTCCAGAAATCGAGCAGTTCCTACAATCACATTTTTATTATAATTGTTACAGAAGTTAAATAGTCATAAGGAAAAAAGCAATATAATATGGGTTTAGGCCATTTGTTTTCTTTAACGTCTTTGTTTTTTATATTTGGAGCAGTCTTTGTTCTATTCAACCAATATTATTCGGGGTTGCATGTCTTTGCTAATGTTATTTTGTGGATCAGAAGCTAAATGAAGCTTCTGAGTTAACACTACTTAACACGTGACTTGGGACCTAAACGTCCCCAGTTCGATCCCCAGCCATTCCCACATGTCGTGGTGTCTCTGAGCAAGACACTCAATCCTCTATTGCTCCCCGGGTGCTTACACAGCTGCCCACTGCTCCACCTGGTTGTGCCTCAGGTGTGATGGGTTAAATGCAGACAACTAATTTTGCTGTTGTATGGGAACATACGATGATGACAACACATAGCACTTTACTTCAAGTTTGGAAGCACCAATGTCATGAGTAACCAGAAGACGTGATGCTTCCTTTTTTTGAGAGTTGCTTTATTATTGTTATAATTCCTTGTTTGTTTGTTTTTAGCTTTATCGACGATTATCTGAAGTTCTGGGGTTGAACGACGAGACGATGGTACTCAGTGTCTTTATCGGGAAAATGTAAGTGACTAAAAGCTTGTTTATGCATGTCAGCCTTTGAAAAATTATATATTTTTTTACCCTTATTAATATGGAAATAAGGAAACTTGACTCTAATTCTGTATTCTACCAACTTTGGTTGTTAAAATGTACTGCTGAATTAAATTTAACTAACATCTCAGACTGAAGAGAAGAGATGCTCAGCAGAACATGAGAGCATGTGATAACATTTTATTTAAAAGTTTAGTAGAGCAGATGCATTTTAAAGTATATAAATGTGTTGCCACGAACACAGCTCAGTCACATGACTAGAACAGTAATTTGCAGTTGATCATGAGACAGTGAGTGGCTATATCTGGCAACATTCAGCCACCAGTCTCTGTGGTATCTCATCAAATTATATTTTCATGACTGATGAAGGTTGTGACTGTCCCTAATCTTCTCTTTCAGCATCACAAACTTGAAGTACTGGGGCCAGTGTGAACCAATCACCTCGAAGACACTCCAACTGCTCAACGACCTCTCGTTAGGATATCCTTACTCAGTGTTTGTGTGTGGATACGCAATGTTGATTTACTGTCATTTCCAGACTGAGTACACCCAAATATAAGCCACGCCCACTACATTTAAATTTTACATAACATTTTTTTTTTTATTAAATTACTTTTTTTTTTTTTTACCTTTTATTTATACAGGTAGTATCACTGAGTCCCAAGGACCCACCCCCAAGAGAGACGTGTATTTTGGGCAGCTATGTGAGCGTCCGGGTGTGACGAGGCTAAATGTTGTAGCGGCATGAAGCCCGTTAGCCCGTCAAAAAAAAAAAAAACCCATAAATTAGCTGCAGCATTGTATAAGCTGCGGTGTTCAAAGCCTGTGAAAAAGTAGCGTCTTATAGTCTGGAAATTACAGTGATAACTTTTAAACTTTAGGTATTCTAGTCATTCAAACCTGGGTATGTTTTCTTTGCTGTAATTATTAACTTCCTGAACTTATTGCTGCAGTGAGTTGCTATATTTACCCTCCTTGGCATTCATTCAAACTGGTGAGTATTTGTAGAACTGCTGTTTGCAGCCAGCACAGTGGCAAAGCTGACATGTATTGGAAACTCTGGAGCAAGACTTCTACCGTATACCGTTTTGGCAAATTTCATTGGATTTGCTTTTTTGTTTTATTTTGTTTTTGATGCAATGACCTTTTCCTGGCCCACTGTTGATAGCCTAGCTCTGTACGGTGTTCAGCCTAAAGTGGTCTTAATTTTTTTTTTTTAGCTTTTATTCAATATGGTAAAAAAACAGAAAAATATATATATATTTTTTCATTTATTTATTTCCACTAGCAAAGCAGCATGATGTGAAGCTAAAGTCGGGTGGAGACGAGGATGTAAACGCTGAATAATTCTGCTTTTTGTTATTTCAGCCACTTGAACCTGCCATCCCCAAACTAAATAACGGGGCTTTTGTTTATTTTGAGGGGTTTTATTGTTAACTTTCACTCTCCTGAGCCATATGAAGGTTTTTATTTTTTTTTTTAAAGAAATGCATAAGTGTTTAAAATGCTCCAGGTTGGTTTCTCCTTGACTTTGTTTGTGCACGTACAGCAGTGTGAGGAAGCTAGTGAAGCTCAGCGCCGTCCAGTTCATGCTAAACAACCACACTGTGAGTACATCTTACACTTAAAGGTTGAATGAGCTGCAACTGCAGGTTGGATGCAAAAAAAGGGGGGGGTGGGGGGCGTGCGAGCAGAAAGTTGTCAGTTCAGGCTTCCAGACTCAGACTTTAAGTGTCAGAGTTGAACACGTGTGTTAACTGTTGTTTTTCTGAGGCAGAGTGAACACTTCTCCTTTCTGGGAGTAAACAACCAGTCGAACCTGAGCGACATGAGATGTCGGACCACTTTTTATACTGCACTGGGGCGCCTGCTCATGGTCGATTTAGGTAAACGCAGATTTTTACCGATTGTTCTGCTTTAGTTTTCCATAACGTGAACACCTTGCCTTGTAGCATTTACTCTATGCACTTCTGCATTCTGTGTGTGTGTGTTTGTGTGTAGGTGAGGACGAGGACCAGTTTGAACAGTTCATGTTGCCTCTGACGGCTGCATTCGAAGCCGTGGCTCAGATGTTGAGTACAAATACTTTCAACGAGCAGGAAGCCAAGGTAACTCACACACACACACACACACACACACACACACACACACACACACACACACAC